TTTTTAGTGTTTTTTTCTTTCTTTCTTTCTTTTTTTAGAGATGGGGTCTCACTATGTTGCCCCCGGCTGGGGTGCAGTGGATCTTAACAGGCATTATCCCACTACTGATCGGCACAGGAGTTTCGACCTGCTCTGTTTCCAGCCTAGGACGGTTCTCCCCTCCTTAGGCAACCTGGTGGTCCCCTGCTCCTGGGAGGTCACCATATTGATGCCGAAATTAGTGCGGACACCTGATCAGCATAGCACACTACAGCCCAGAACTCCTGGGCTCAGGCGATTCTCCCACATCAGCCTCCCAAGTAGCTGGGGCTACAGGCATGCACCACTGCACCTGGCCTTTTTAAAAATTTTATTATACTTTAAGTTCTGGAGTACACGTGCAAATCTTGCAGGATTGTTACATAGGTATACATATGACATAGTGGCTTCCTGCCTCCATCCTCCTATCACCTACATTAGGTATTTATCCTAATGTTATCCATCCTCAGTCTCTCCATCTGCTGCTGTCCCTCCCCTAGCCCCCCACCCTCTAACAGACCCCAGTGTGTGATATCATAATTTCTAATATAGTCAAAACCTACAAGCAGTTCATCTTAACCTTCAGTTACCAGACTCTTGAGTGGTGCCCTTTATAGATTTATGGTCTTCATCCCTAGTTCTTAGCTGAGTGCTCTACAGAGTATAAGATGAATATGAACTTGTCAGGTAATTAGCACCTGTGAAGAGAACAAACATATGAAGTCTTTAAGTGAAATCACACTCATTTTACTTATTTAATGTGTGCTTGCATTGTGGTAAATGGAAATAAGTGTGGAAAAGGAGTGTGACAACAGTATCCGCCACTCCTTAGATTGACTTTCAAGATGGCTATGTCATGAGAAACCTGATTTGTTTTTTCATGCCTGGTGTTATCATACCCCTCAGAAGTTACTAAATTTTTTCTTTGTTTCAATAGTCAATGGCAGTAATCCTGAAGGTGAAGATTCTGAGAAGGAATCTATAGAAAATGAAGATTATAGAGCAAAGTCTTCAGATGATGATGAAATGGATTCTTCATTGGTCTCTCAGCAGCCTCTAGATAACCAGGAAAAGGAAAGACTAAATACATTCATTCAACAGAAAAGGAAAATGAGAAATCTGTTAGTTACCATTGAGAATGATACTCCCTTAGAGGAACTCTCAAAATATGTAGATGTCAGTATTATTGCACTTACTCGAAATCGGAGGACAAGGAGATGGTACACTTGTCCACTGTGTGGGAAACAGTTTAATGAAAGTTCTTATCTTATTTCCCACCAGAGGACTCACACTGGAGAAAAACCCTATGACTGTAGTCACTGTGGGAAAAGCTTCAATCATAAAACAAATCTCAATAAACATGAACGGATTCATACAGGAGAGAAACCTTATTCCTGTTCTCATTGTGGGAAAAATTTTCGTCAGAATTCTCATCGGAGTCGTCACGAAGGAATCCATATAAGGGAGAAGATATTTAAGTGTCCAGAATGTGGGAAAACCTTCCCAAAGAATGAGGAATTTTTGCTTCATCTGCAGAGTCATGAGGCTGAGAGACCGTATGGTTGCAAAAAATGTGGGAGAAGATTTGGTCGGCTGTCAAACTGTACCCGGCATGAGAAAATCCACTCAGCCTGTAAGACCCAAAAGCAGAAGTAATATTGGGAAAGGTTTGATGGTGCTTCCTCAACCTGAGAGCTTTCATAATGCATTCTGAATTCCCAAGCTGCCTAAAAAGATACAAATATGTAGGCTGGGCTCTGTGGCTCACACCTGTAATCCCAGCACTTTGGGAGGCCGAGATGGGTGAATTACAAAGTTAGGAATTTGAGACCAGCCTGACCAACAAGTTGAAATCATGTCTCTACTAAAAATACGAAAATTAGCTGGGCGTGTTGGCATGCACCTGTAATCCTAGCTACTCAGGAGGCTGAGGCAGGATAATCGTTTGAATCCAGGAGGCAGAGGTTGCAGTGAGCCAAAATCACACCACTGCACTCCAGCCTGGGTGAACCAGCTAGACTCCATCTCAAAGAAAAAATAACAATATGTGAAAAGCTCATTATAGCCAAAATTGGATAAATGCCTGTCTTGGCTAAAACCTCAAATTGTTAGAAAATTCGCAGGGAAGAAAACATATTCAAAGGCTATACCTCAGCATCCACGCTTTCTGGACTAAGGAGCTTTCCTTTATGAAGTTATATGGCAATGTACAGGTCACAGATCCCTTTCCCAAGAAAGACTTTGAAGATGAATCTGGAGGCTGCTTACTTGCAAGACAGAGTGACTCATGTCTATTGTAAGTATATCCATTTTCCCCCTACATGGGGATTCGTACTTGAGAAATAGTGCAAAGGTTCTTATCTGGAACTATGTTCTCATGAAAGAACCAAACTACTGGCTTGTTGAGCCAACAGCTTCTAATAGCAATTCATTTAACCCTCTAAGAACACCTGTTTAAGCCTTGAGTGTTGAATTGTTTACTTTGGAATATAGGAAAACTACAGCAATTGAATGTCAGACTCTCAGTTGGATGTGATCTAAACTTGCAATCAATTTTAATAACATTTGCAATTTGTGATAAAATTGACTTTTACAGATTCCTTTTTACAACATAAGTGTCTACTGTTTTTACTCTATTTTGTTCAGTTGTTGATATCTCCAACAGCTGTTTCATGCCTCTCCCTTGCCAAAATAAGTTAATATTACTCAGGCAGGGCCATCTAGTCCCACCGCTAGAAAAGCTCTTCAGAATCTTCTTCCTCTCTTGAGCCCAGATCTCATGTGCTAGGAAGCACCAGTACTCATAGAGGAGGGGTCAACCTGGAGGCAGGAAAAGTTGGCTTAGATCCATGTCTCATCAATAACCTTAAGGTCCCCTCTACACCATCATTAGACCTTTGGTGATGGGGTGGTCACTACCTCACAAGGCAAAGTGGTGTGTGTGTGTGTGTGTGTGTATTTTTTTGAGATGGAGTTTCATGTTCTAAGATGATTGTTGTAGGTGATGGGCAAAAAAAAGAGAGAAGGAGTTTCACTGTTGTTGCCCAGGCTGGAGTACAATGGCCTGATTTCGGCTCACTGCAGCCTCCGCCTCCCGGATTTGAGCAATAGGTTTCAGCCTTACAAGTAGCTGGGATTACAGGCATGTGCCACCACGCCCAGCTAATTTTGTGGGGTTTTTTATTTTTTATTTTTTTTTTGAGACGGAGTTTCACTCATGTTACCCAGGCTGGAGTGCAATGGCGCGATCTCGGCTCACCGCAACCTCTGCCTCCTGGGTTCAGGCAATTCTCCTGCCTCAGCCTCCTGAGTAGCTGGGATTACAGGCATGCACCACCATGCCCAGCTAATTTTTTGTAGTTTTAGTAGAGACGGGGTTTCACCATGTTGACCAGGATGGTCTCGATCTCTTGACCTCGTGATCCACCCGCCTCGGCTTCCCAAAGTGCTGGGATTACAGGCTTGAGCCACCGCGCCCGGCCAATTTTGTGTTTTTTAATAGAAACAGGGTTTCTTCATGTTGGTGAGGCTGGTCTCGAACTCCCGACCTCAGGTGATCCACCTCAGCCTCCCAAAGTGCTGGGATTACACGTGTGAGCCACTGCACCTGGCCCGAAGTGTTGTATATTTAGAAATTACGTCTCCAGTGGTTAGCTCACATTGCCCCTCAAGAGACAGGATTCCAGGTGTCTTCATTATAGTGGGTATTCATTGTCTTCAGTCTCTTCATATCCAGACCTTCCTGTCCTCTCTGCCTAGAAGCAAGGCCAATGGTGCAATTTAGGGATTCTTGACCAGTTTTACTTACTTAAGGTTTCCAAAAGTTTCACACTGGTACTTTGATTGGAATGAAGAAATCCTATAAACTATTTGGGAAAAATTATAGTGTTTGTTTCCATCCAGAAACATGCCTTTGTATTTATGAGAATGTTATATTCCTGTGAAAATTTTTCTAATTTTCTTCACTTAAGGTTTTACAAAATTTTATTACTGTAAGTAGTTTTTTTCATTATATTTCTGAGTTGATTATTGTTGTTACATAGGAAAGTTATTTTTAATTATATAGTTGTGTAGCTAGTCACCTCACTGAGTGTTCTTAATTTTCAGTAGTTTCTTGGTTTAGCTCTGTTACAACTTTTGGTAAAATGACACCATTAACAAATAATAGTTTTGCTTCTTGCCTTCTGCCTATCAGACTTTTTTTGTTTTGTTTGTTATTGACATGTAATTGTGAGGTTTGTTGTTTTCGTACAAAGCATTTTGAAGGACATTTTATGATACAGTTCAGTCCTGAATCATAATTTAAAAACAGGCTGGGCACAGTGGCTAATGCCTGTAATCTCAGCACTTTGGGAGGCTGAGGTAGGTGGATCACCTGAAGTCAGGAGTTGGAGACCAGCCTGACCAACATGGCAAAACCCTGTCTCTACTAAAAAAAAAATAAAAAATTAGCTGTGTGTGGTGGTGGGCGCAGCTATTTGGGAGGCTGAGGCAGGAGAATTGCTTGAACCTGGGAGGCGGAGGTTGCAGTGAGCCGAGATTGCACCGTTGCACTCTAGCCTGGGCAACAAGAGTGAAACTCCATCTCAAAAAACAGTAACACCCTCCATGACAGTGGAAGGCCACAAAAACTGTCCTTTACTGGCTTTATATTTCAAGCCAACAGTAAATACCCTGTAAAGTCAGCAAAGCTAACAAAACTGGCTGCCCACAACATTATTTGCTTATTTGAAAGTGTGGCCAATGCACTAGGACTGGGGTCCTGAGCTGTGTTTCTGGAGTCGCCAGGCTGTTACCATGTGCCGGGGACCCCTTGTGTACCCAGAAAACAAGTAGCTGCAAGGCAGTGAGTAAAGAGAGTTTCCACTCATTCTTTGGCACCTCTGCCCAAGAGTCGGGTGTTTTATCAGTCCTCATGCAGCCATGGTGTAGTCACCGAGGCACTTTTTGTTTTGTTTTTTTAAACTGAGACTGGCTCTTGTCACCAAGGCTGGAGTTGGGGGATCTTGGCTCACTGAAACCTTTTGCCTCCTAGGCTGAAGTGATCCTCCTGCCTCAGCCTTCTGAATAGCTTTTTGTTTTTTTAAATGTAGGCGGTGCTCATCTACTTAAAATCCCAGCACTTTGGGAGGCCAAGGCAGGTGGATCACCTGAGGTGAGGAGTTCAAGACCAGCCTGGCCAACATGATGAAACCCCATCTCTACTAAAAATACAAAAATTAGCTGAGCATGGTGGCACGTGTCTGTAGTTCCAGCTACTCAGGAGACTAAGAAAGGAAGATTGCTTAAACCTGGGAGGTGGAGGTTACGGTGAGCCAAGATTGTGCCTCTGCACTGTAGCCTGGGCTATAGTATCAAGACTGGGCATGCTGGCATGTTCCTGTAGTCCCAGCTACTCTGGGAAGCTGAGGTGGGAGGATTCCTTGAATCTGAGAGTTAGAGGCCAGCCTGGACAACTTAGCAAGACCTAATTTCTGTCTCTCTCTCTCTCTCCTTTTTTCTTTTTTTTTAAGACGGTGTTTTGCTCTGTTGCCAGGCTGGAGTTCAGTGGTGCAATCTCAGGTCACTGCAACCTCTCCCTCCTGAGTTCAAGTGATTCTCCTGCCTCAGCCTCCCAAGTAGCTGGGACTACAGGCACGTGCCACTATGCCCAGCTAACTTTTGTATTTTTAGTAGAGATGGGGCTTCACCGTATTGGCCAGGATGGTCTTGGTCTCTTGACCTTGTGGTCTGTTCACCTCAGCCTCCCAAAGTGTTGGGATTACAAGCATGAGCCATTGCACCTGGCCTTTTTTTTTTTTTTTTAGAAACAGGGTCTCACTCTGTCACCCAGACTGTAGTATATGACCATAGCTCACTACAACACTGAACTCCTGGGCTCAAGAGATACTTCCACCTCAGCCTCCCAAGTATCTGGGACTACAGGTACAGGCCACTTCACTCAGCCAATTTATTTTTCTTTTTGTAAAAATGGGGTTTTGCTATGTTGCCCATCATAGCCTCAAACTCCTGGCTGAAGTGATTCTCCTCCTTGGCCTTCCAAAGCACTGGGCTTGTCTCTTTAAAAAAAGAAAAAAAAAAAAAAAATCAGAGTAAATGAGAGGTTTACTCCACCATGGCAGGGTGAGGGTACCTGTAGTCCCAGCTACTTGAGAGGCTGAGGCAGGAGAATTTCTTGAACCCAGGAGGTGGAGATTGCAGTGAGTGGAGATCCAGCCTGGGTGACAGAGCAAGAATCTGTCTCAAAAAAAAAAGACAAGTGAACATAACTTCAAAGAAATATGGACATCAGTAAGTGCACCAAATACACATAATGGGAGTACCAGAAGGAGAGGAGAGAAAGGAAAGGAAAAAATTTTGGAAAAATAATGGATAAAAATTTCCCAAATTTATTAAAACATATCTATACAAACAGGAAGCTTTTAGTAAACTTCAAGTAAGATAAACAAAAAGAGACCCAAAATAAATGCATCATAGCAAAAATGTTGAATGTCCAAGACAAGGAAAAAATAATCAGTTTCATAATTTGTCAGTTTTTTAGTTTTCTGCAATCACTTTTCTTTTTCTTTTGATTTTTTTTTTTTTTCTTAGACAGAGTCTCCCTCTGTTGCCCAGGCTGGAGTGCAGTGGCGTGATCTTGGGTCACTGCTACCTCCGCCTCCCAGGGTCAAGCAATTCTCCTGCCTGAGGCTCCCAAGTAGCTGGGATTACAGGCACCCACCACCATGCCCAGCCAATTTTTGTATTTTTAGTAGAGAAGGGGTTTCTCCATGTTGGCCAAGCTGATCTCAAACTCCTGACCTCAGGTGATCCACACACCTTGGCCTCCCAAAGTGCTGGGATTACAGGCATGAGCCATGGTGCCCGGCCTACAAATAAAATTCAAATCATGCTCTTAAATAGTAAATTTTCTTTATGTTTTAATTTAGAAACAGAATTATTAGTATCTTTTGCTAGAGAACCTGATGGAAACCAAGTATTAAGATAAAATTGTGTAGACTCTGGTGATTTGGAAAAGTTTTTTTATAAAATGGAAGATGAAAAACCAGGATATAAATTAATATCTAAATAAAAATTGCTGTAATCTGCTCCTCTTCTACTCCTTTAAAAAAAAATAAAAATAGGGCTGGGCACGGTGGCTCACGCCTATAATTCCAGCACTTTGGGAGGCTGAGGCGGGTGGATCACAAGGTCAAGAGATCGAGACCATCCTGGTCAGCAAGGTGAAACCCCGTCTCTACTAAAAATACAAAAATTAGCTGGGCATGGTGGCGTTCACCTGTAGTCCCAGCTGCTTGGGAGGCTGAAGCAGGAGAATTGCTTGAACCCAGGAGGCGGAGGTTGCAGTGAGCCGAGATCGTACCCATTGCACTCCAGCCTGGGTAACAAGAGCGAAACTCTGTCTCAAAAAAATAAATAAAAAATAAAATAAAATGAAAATAAAAATTTCTGTGTGTATTGTCACAGAACAGAGGGTAAAAAAGTAGATGTAGTTGATTGATATGGCTGGACATTTGAGACTGTGGAAGATATTTTTCTTGTTTAACTTACCCATATTTCTGCTGTAATGTGTGATACATAAAGCTCAGATAAGAAAATAAAAATAATTAGCTCGCCGGGCGCGGTGGCTCAAGCCTGTAATCCCAGCACTTTGGGAGGCCGAGGCGGGTGGATCACGAGGTCAAGAGATCGAGACCATCCTGGTCAACATGGTGAAACCCCGTCTCTACTAAAAATACAAAAAATTAGCTGGGCATGGTGGCACGTGCCTGTAATCCCAGCTACTCAGGAGGCTGAGGCAGGAGAATTGCCTGAACCCAGGAGGCGGAGGTTGCGGTGAGCCGAGATCGCGCCATTGCACTCCAGCCTGGGTAACATGAGTGAAACTCCGTCTCAAAAAAAAAAAAAAAAAAAAATAATTAGCTCAAATGAGTGGCAGAATTAGGGCTTTCTGGAACACAAAATAAATCGTCCCCTCCCTGCCCCAACAAAGGTCTGATCTTTCCATCAGATGTGTTCATATCAAGGTCTCTGTTGTGAGAAAGAATAAACATCCCTGATAGGAGCTCGCGTGGCCCTCACAGCAAGGTTTTTGTGTTCTCCTGGTGAACATAGAGAATTTCACAGAACATCAGATAAGGCCAGTCTGACTGTGCTAGAGTAAAACAAAGCAAGACCATTCTGTAATGATTTCTCAACACAAAAACATGCACGTTGTCATAGCCACAAAAATAACCAAACATCCCCCTATGTTGGCTGATATGAATGACTGCTGTTTCTTTGGCAATCACAGCTTTGGCCTCTTCTTTCCTTCTGGATAAAATATATTAAGATACCTATTAAGAATTATTCCTATTCAGCCGGGCGCGGTGGCTCACGCCTGTAATCCCAGCACTTTGGGAGGCCGAGGCAGGTGGATCACGAGGTTAAGAGATCGAGACCATCCTGGTCAACATGGTGAAACCCCGTCTCTACTAAAAATACAAAAAATCAGCTGGGCATGGTGGCGCGTGCCTGTAGTCCCAGCTGCTCAGGAGGCTGAGGCAGGAGAATTGCCTGAACCCAGGAGGTGGAGGCTGCGGTGAGCCGAGATCGCGCCATTGCACTCCAGCCTGGGTAACGAGAGCGAAACTCCGTCTCAAAAAAAAAAAAAAAAAAAATAATTCCTATTCTTTAATGGCATCTACTCCAGACTACAGGCTCCTTCCTAATTACTCCCCAACATGGCATAAACAATTGTCCTTTTAAAAACTCTTCTATTGAGACACCTCACTATGCCCGATGGTGTGTGTTCTCCCTTGTTATAATGAGTAGTACATCTAATTTCTTCATCTAAAAGTGTGTTCCTGCTAGGTTTTAGCAGGAGGGCACTGACAATTGGAATTGTTGGGTCATTTAATTAAAGGGTCTCTGTTTCCATCTTTAACCTGAAGAGTCCATATCAAGGATTTGTTCTCCCAAAATAGATACCAGATGTTTCTCTTATAAAAACAAACACTCTTATGCCTGTAATCCTAGCACTTTGGGAAGGCCGAGGTGGGTGGATCACCTGAGGTCAGGAGTTCATGACCAGCCTGGCCATCATGGTGAAACCCCATCTTAGAAAAAAAAAACAAAAACAAAAACCGCTGTCTGGGCACGGTGGCTCACACCTGTAATCCTATCACTTTGGGAGGCCTAGGTGGGTGGATCATTTGAGGTCAAGAGTTTGAGACCAGCCTGAACAACATGGTGAAACCACATCTCCTAAAAATACCAAAAAAATTAGTTGGGCGTGGTGGCACACGACTGTATTCTCAAGTACTCAGGAGGCTGGGGCAGAAGAATCATTTGAATCCAAGAGATGGAGGTTGCAGTGAGCCAAGATTGCACCACTGCACTCCACTCTGGGTGACAGAGTCAGACTCCACCTCAAAATAAACAAAAATGCTACGTTTCACACAGTAGAAAAAATAGGATTATCTCAGTAATGAGCTCCTTCTAGGAATATCTTAGCCCATATCACTACTGAACACAAAAAAAATTTCAACGGAACCACCTTTCCAAGAGCCCCTTTTATGTCCTTGTTCCTCATGCTGTAGATAAAATGTTTCAGCATGGGAGTCACCAGTGTGAACATCACAGCAGCTGCTGTATCTCTCTGAGCTGAGGAGGAGGATGAAGGGTTGAAATACAGAGACGATGGTGCCATAAAAGAGAATCACAGCCAGGTGGGAGCCACAGGTGGAGAAGGCTTTCCATTGTCCCTTTGTGGATGGGACCTTCAGGACGACACACATGTTGTGCATATAGGAAGCCAGGACGCAAAGAAATGGGGCGATTATGACCAGGGCAGCCTCAGTAAGAATCATCTGAGCAGGAGAGTTTCAGGAGGGGAGTCACATCGCAGAAGATATGGGGAATGGTGTTGACTGCACAGAAAGAGAGTTGAGCCATCAGCAGGGTGTGCAGCAGATAATTCAGGTTGTCAACGACCCACGATCCAGCAGCTAGCAGGGCACAGAGCTGATGGGTCATCTTTGCTGTGTAATGTAAGGGGTGGCACACAGTAACAAAGCGATCATAGGCCATCACAGCCAGGAGAAAATTATCCATGTCAGCAAGCTCAATGACGAAATACATCTGTGTGAGACAGCCAGAGGAGGAGATGGTCTGAGTCCCAAGTATGTGATTGGTCAGCATCTTGGGGACAGTGGTGAAGCAGATGTCCACAAAGGACAGGCTGCTGAGGAAGAAGTACATGGGGGTGTGCAGGCAGGAGTCTGTGTTGATAGCTAGGATGATGAGCAGGTTTCCCAGGACCATGGCCAGGAAGAGCATGCTCAGGAAGAGCACGAAGAGGAGACGCTGCTGCTGGGACTGCCTAGAGAGTCCCAGGAGGAAGAACTCTGAGACACTTGACTGGTTTGTCCCGCTCATGGGTCTGATTCCAGATGCAGACAAGACAGAGATCAGAAATATAGAAGCTGAGGCTATAGATGCAACAAGTCAAGCTCCAACCATGGCCATGTTAACAAACCTGTATTAGAGTTGCTCAGTCAAGATCCACTCCAGTCCCTACACCCCCAACTTCCGATGTCCAGCCCTAGATGATGTGGGTCCTTGTATACTCGTTCTTTCAGTGTTTTAAAATATACTATTAAAACAACATGCAGACTCATGCACAGCCCTCCTCTGCTATTATATAGGTTTCTATTAACATTTCCAGGCTTGCCGGGCGCGGTGGCTCACGCCTGTAATCCCAGCACTTTGGGAGGCCGAGGCGGGTGGATCACGAGGTCAAGAGATCGAGACCATCCTGGTCAACATGGTGAAACCCCATCTCTACTAAAAATACAAAAAATTAGCTGGGCATGGTGGCACGTGCCTGTAATCCCAGCTACTCAGGAGGCTGAGGCAGGAGAATTGCCTGAACCCAGGAGGCGGAGGTTGCGGTGAGCCGAGATCGCGCCATTGCACTCCAGCCTGGGTAACAAGAGCGAAACTCCGTCTCAAAAAAAAAAAAAAAACATTTCCAGGCTTTCTCTCACCTCTTAGTCACTCATAGAAAGGCAAAATCACTGTGTCTATGTCAAATTCCAGCTGATGGTTCAGGACTCTTACTATTTCTCCCTGGATGTGGCATGTTTAGAAAAGGGAGTTTCTCAAAGAACTCCATTCAGTAGTATATATATGTTCATGGCCTTAACCTCTGTGCAGGATGGATGTTTGCGAGAATCACAGACAGGTATTTACAGTAGTTTCCATGGCCATTGGGACTAGACTCTCTGGGAGTCTCATTAGAATGAAGCAGAGATTAATTTTCCCATCTATTTCTTGGTCCCTGTGGACCCAACAATAATGGAAAGGTACATTTTCTCACTCCTGGGTCAGAACTAGGAGATAAAGCAATCTTGGAGACAAGTCCCAAAGAAAATTCACTAAGACCTCAAATTGCATCACCTTGCTGATCTGGGCATATGTTTATAGGTTTGAAAAGTTGGTTATCAAATGATTTTTCTTCTTAAATTCGTAGCTCAGAAGCTGAGATTATAGCAGTGTTATCTGAACCTCTCCTTTTTTTCACATATATAGTCATTTATTGCATTGACTTAATGAAGCGTTTGCAGATAGGGATGCAGAGGCTGGGGTGGGGTCAGGGGTAAAGGTGGCATTGCAGAGTTGTGCTTCTTTTTTTTTTTTTTTTTGAGGTGAAGTCTCACTCTGTGACCCAGGCTGATCTCAGCACACTGCAACCTCCGCCTCCTGGATTCAAGCAATTCTCCCACCTCAGCCTCTGAAGTAGGGAGGACTTCAGGTAGGCACCACCACACCTAGCTAATTTTTGTATTTTTAGTAGAGTCAGGATTTCACTATGTTGGTCAGGCTGTACTTGAACTCCTGACATCAGGTAATTTGCCCGCCTCAGCCACTCACAGTGCTGGGATTACAGGCATGAGCCACCGCACCAGGCTTGTGTTTAATCTCTTAAAGCGTTTGGTGTAAAGGATACCCTTTTTGTAATGGGAGAATATTTCAGGAGATGCACAGCATGTCATGACTGAGAAACTCCATGTTCCTAAAGTAGACTTCCTTTGGGGATGTCTTCCCAGCTCATATTGGGTCAGCCTTTTCTGAAAATGGCCCCCTAATCCATAGACACTCAGGGATATGGACTCCAGCAGTCCACTTTACACTCTGATCACCTCCTCCCCAGTGAGAATTCATGATTGGACTAGGGCAACTGAAACTGGGACTGAGGGCCACAGATAATTTTCACTAGGACTTGGCCTGTAACATGTAAACCCAGAAGGGTGCAACTCGCTTTTGGCTGACGTGTAGTTTGATAAGCAAAAGCATATGGATAAGAGCAAAAAAATGTAAACACACAGAGAGAAGAAGGGCTGGAGAAAGTACTGATGGCTGTCCAGTTCACAGTTCAAGTCATTTTCTAATGACGGGCTGCATTCTGGCCTCACACACAGTTCTGAGTTGCATATAACAAAAACCAACTGTTGCTGAGTAAAGCAGGAAAGGATTTCATGAAAATGATAATAGATACCTTTCAAAAACACTGGACAGCTGGAGACCCAGGCTCAGAAGACCACACAGCAGCCACAGTGGCCCAAATAATACCAACGCTGCTGTGGCCTCCAAGCATAAATGTTGCCGTTCATAGCTTTGACACAGTTATCACTAGGCATGGGGTGACACCAGTCACATTGCTGCCACTGCTGCCCCAGGAATCCATCTTGCTGCAATGGCTGCCACTGCCTGAAAAAGTTCTTCTTGGTCTTCTCTTCCTTGGGCCAAAGGCTGAGTCGGGGTATCTGATGGACAGTCACATGCCCACATCTTTGCTGCAAGAGATTCTGGGAAATCAGTTATTCTGGGGTTCCTGTTTTATAGGAAGTAAGATATTTTCCAAATAGTTATGAAGCACCAGAGTACCTAAGATTTGGAAGGAGGTGCAGTAATTCAGAAGCCAAAAACCATGATAAATCCTCACTAAAATCCATCCCTTCAATAGCACATTAATGCATACCCCTCTTACCAATTTACCCCAAAGAAACAATCTGGCCTAACATAGTGCAGCTATCCTTCCCACAATAGGGAAACAATGCAAAGTCCCATCAGTTACTACATCAAGATCCATAAAAGGATCCCCCCTACTCCAATCGTGATCTCATCCTGACAGTCTGAAACTTGAAACCTGAAAGCTAACCAATAAAATAACTACACATCCTGTGTATGTAAAATATGGAGAAAAGAGGCCAGGCGCGGTGGGTCATCCCTGTAAGTCCAGCACTTTGTGAGGCCAAGTCGGGCAAATCATGAGGTCAGGACTTTGAGATCAACCTGGCCAACATGGTGAAACCTTTTCTCTACTAAAGATAAAAAAAAATAGCTGGGTGTGGTGGTGCGTGCCTGCAATCCCAGCTACTGGGGAGGCTGAGGCAGAATCAGTTGAACCCAGGAGGCAGAGGTTTCAGTGAGCTGAGATAGTGCCATTGCATTCCAGCCTGGGTGACAGGGCAAGACTCCATCTCAAAGAATATATATATATATTCTCTCTCTCTCTCTCTCTCTCTCTCTCTCTCTCTCTATATATATATATATATATATATATATATATATATATATATATATATATAGAGAGAGAGAGAGAGAGAGAGAGAGAGGAGGAAGATAAAAGGAGGAAAATATAAACAAATACTGTAATCTTTATTTCTGCAGGCAGCCACTTGTCCACAATCTAATTCCTGTTCCTTGTCTTTAGCCAATGTCTCAGCTATCCCAGGTTATTTTTTAATCTGATGAAGTAACCCAAAACGTTCACGTCTGATAGATTTGGCTTCCTTATAGTCCTGCCTATAATGTATAAGATGGTTCTAGTTTCTCATTAGGTATTAGGGGAAGATATGTCCACTTGTACCCCTAGTTTCCTTGCCCTATAAATTCCTGGTTGAGAAAAAGTTCAGGATATATTGTCCACTGGTATGAATCTTATACCATTTCCTTAAAATAGCACCAACGCTGGGTGTGGTGACTCATGCCTGTAATCCCAGCACTTTGGGAGGCTGAGGCAGGTGGATTACAAGGTCAAGAGATCGAGACCATCCTGGCCATGAAATGTTTCACATTTCAAACATGGTGAAATACAAACAGCCGCGAGTGGTGGCACGTGCCTGTAGTCCCAGCTACTCAGTAGGCTGAGGCAGGAGAATTGCTTGAACCTGGGAGGTGGAGATTGCAGTGAGCCGAGGTCCCACTGCACTCCAGCCTGGAGACAGAGCAAGACTCCGACTCAAAAAAAAAACAAACCAGCACCCCAAACTTACAGAGTAGCTTAAAATTGTGCCATAAGTGAGTGTTTAAAAGACCATCTCACTATTCCATAAGGTCAGCTGCTTCTGGTGACGGTGTACAAGTAAATACTCATGGATCCCGTGGACACCAGGCTGACCCCTTGTGTTAATTACCTATTGTATAACAAATTATTCTAAAATTTAGCAACTTAAAACAGTGAACATTTCTCTCATGCAGATCCTGTGAGTCCAGAATTTGGCAGTGGTTTAGCTGAAAAGTTCTGGAAGAGAGTTTCTCATGAAATTGCAGTTAAGTTTTCAGCAGCAGCTCAGTCATCTGAAGGCTTGACTGAGGCTGAAGGATAGAATTCTAAGACGGCTCCTTCACGCAGGAAGCCTCGGTTTCTCACATGGACCTCTCAGACATGTTCTCACACATAATAGCTTGTTTTCCCCACAGTAAGTGCTTCAGGAAAGCAAGATGAAAACTACAGTATCTTTTACGACCCAGCTCCAGAAGCTACGGGTATCTTTTGTGACCCAGCTCCATTGTTTCTTACATCCACTATAGCTGAGTCCACCAGACCATTTCAATGTGGGAAGGGATTATACAAGGCTAGCATCATTGAGAGTCATCGTGGAAAGTGACTGCCATATCCTTTTTACTATAAGTTGAGTTCCTTGGTTAGACAATGTCTGTGGGATGCCAAGTTGGTGAATAAACCCATGCATCCCTAATACACATTCTGCCTTTGCTTTCAACCTCAGGTTGATTGAGCACCTCTTTTTGTACATGGGTTTCCCTTTCCTGGGTGCTTCTGCACATCCCTAGGCACCCAAGTTCACTGTAGGTTTTCTTCCTATAGCATCCCACATCATAACTTTCATTATAGTGATGCCTGGGATGTGATCAAGATTCGGGAGTCTGACTCACAAGTCTCAAGTCTTATTATCTCCATTAGGTCTGCAGTGTAGGCCACTGTCTGCAGAGCCAAATCCAGACGTCGACATTGTCTCCTAGACTTGAAACCTTGGGAAGCATAAAGCAGCCATTCTGAAACATTAACGTGCACAGAAATCACCTAGGGATGTTGTCAAAATGAAGATTCTGACTCAGGAGGCCTCAGATTATGCATTTAGTCACCCAGGCGATGCCTGTCCTCGGACCTTATTTTAAGTAGCAAAGCTTAGGTTTAGACGAAGAGGAGCCCTCACTCAAAGAGCCCGAGTCATCTACATCGATTTTTGTGCTGCTGGCTCCCCAGCCAACCTCGCCTTTTGAAAAGATATCCAGATTGGAAGTCAAACCTTGACCTCCTTCAGTGCCACCCGTGGAAGTAGAAGACAAGAATCCTAAACGTTTGGTGACCCGCTGTATCCAGAGAGGGCAGAGAGGTGGGGCAGAAACCTAAAGAACCC